GTTCTCACACAGTCACACTCATACATATGTATTCATATTCTTACATATTCTACACATTTACACACATATACAGATATACTCTATATATCTACACATACAGTACTGAGCTGGGTATTACTTAATTAGGGCTGCCTCTGCAACTAGGAGTCACTGCTTTATAGCTCCAAAGTTATTCAGTAACACTTTACTATTTAGCATTTACAAGTAGTGCATAAACATTGAATAAATGGCTTATAATAATGTACTTGTAAGCAGGTCAATGTGTGACTAATGTATTTATCAATTATTATAACTCCTGGGGACACTCACAAGTGAATGCAAATATGCCAGGGCTAGTATGTAGTAAAACACAGCTGTAATAATATGAAATATCTCTTCATAGGAAAGTTTAGACAAATGTAGTATATTTTTAACACTTAAATTATCTGTTTATTAAATATTTATGGTACTTGAAATTTGGGAAGCCATTTTTTCTCAAAACCCCTGTCTTTCATTATACCCAGATTGATCTTAACGTATGCATTCATAATTTAAAACGTGTCACAAGAAACCCAGTTTTTCTACACATTTTCCATGGAATAATTTTCACTGGACAAGAGACTAACTTGAAAATTGCCTGTACGATAAAACACATAGAGTGGCTTTCTCCATCCTCGTTTTGAGACGGCATCCACCTCAGGATGTATTGTCCTGCCGCTAATGTAATCTGGCTTGTATTGTATGGCCCGCTGAACAGCAGCTCAGAGATCCTTTAACAAACAGAAGAGGAAAAGGTTTGTCAAATTAAAATAGCAGATCCAAAACCTCCCCACCCAAATAGAGCAACGTTTTCTATGAGGATATGATAAAAATGCTACAGCAGCTAGTGTCACATCATATGGAAACTATTTTTCCTTCGAACCTGGCATCTGTCTCAGCTTTCTTTTTAAGTTTATTTCCTTTCTGATTTTTGGTGATTCAAACAGAAGGCAGTTTTGTTTTCAAAGTGTTCATGTCAATCAATTGATGAGATCTGTTTGTGAAATAAATAGCAAAATACCATGTTTTCACATTGTCAAGAGTTGACACCCAATGTAGCTACTAATGGAAGTTTTCAATGTTTTTTTTGGCTTTGAATGCATATGGTACCCATATTTGCGTTTAACCTACTGTTTGCTCTGTTATGGTACTTGTATGCTTGTCAAACCTAAAACCTGTCAGTGCTGAAGTTACACAACACGACAGACCAGTAAAACTTGGCAAATGAAAACCACTTCTGTATGTGATTAATGTCTTAATGTGGATAAATACTTCTTGTCCAGAGGAAGATCTACAGAACATCATCACCCTGTGGGATTTTAATATTTAAATCCTATTAAAATGACTTCTTCTGACTTACGTGGAATTATTTGCCTCTGCTTTAATGCTGATTTCCAGGTTCATGTTGACAGTGGCGTATAACTGAACTCCGTTGGCCGGAGTTGGAGACAGGAACTTGGGCAGAAAGAGACCTTCTGTGCAGGATTCCATCACAGGATCCACTGGAACAATACAGAAAAGCAAACGTTTCTAACAACAGTAATGTCAAAGGACCATCAAAGACATTCGGATTCATCATCTCTGTTCAGAATTTCATGGTCATCCATCTAGTAGAAGTGGTGTAATGACAGACCAACAACAGCTCATAGTGCAACTAGCATAGCTATGTGCTCAAAAAACATAAACTCAGCTAATGAGCTTACTTCTAATTTCATTGCAGCTCTTCCTTCAGTATTTCTGGATAAAGTCCAAGCTGTCAAAACATGAGACCTTACCATTTAAAGGATAAGCCTGATCATTTTCTATGTTAATAGTATTGTCAGCAGTACTCAAACAGAGACTAGAGCATGGATCGGGCTGCGTTTTTCTGACCGAACCCAACCTGGACCCAACAAGCTCACAGAATATAATGTCTGAATATGACCTGAGCTCAACACAATTAAGTTTGTATGGTGTTTTTCACCTTATCATTGAATGGAGCAGACATTTGAATGCTTCAGCCATCTAGCCTAAAGTTTGACCAATGTATCTGAACCAAACACAAGACCACCTAATATTTGTTTTTAAAAAAGGCACCAAATGGACTTAACTATTTATAGCATCTGAGGTAAGCAAGAGTCAGCTGCGCATGCACAAGCTCTCTCAGCATTTTTAACAAATTGGGTCTTGGGTTTTGCAATAAGGAAAGCTGTTACCCAGTGCAGCGATGAGTTTCCCAGGTGTCCTTTTACAGTGCCTTGCGAAAGTATTCGGCCCCCTTGAACTTTGCGACCTTTTGCCACATTTCAGGCTTCAAACATAAAGATATAAAACTGTCATTTTTTGTGAAGAATCAACAACAAGTGGGACACAATCATGAAGTGGAACGAAATTTATTGGATATTTCAAACTTTTTTAACAAATAAAAAACTGAAAAATTGGGCGTGCAAAATTATTCAGCCCCTTTACTTTCAGTGCAGCAAACTCTCTCCAGAAGTTCAGTGAGGATCTCTGAATGATCCAATGTTGACCTAAATGACAAAGGATGATAAATAGAATCCACCTGTGTGGAATCAAGTCTCCGTATAAATGCACCTGCACTGTGACAGTCTCACAGGTCCGTTTAAAGCGCAGAGAGCATCATGAAGAACAAGGAACACACCAGGCAGCTCCGAGATACTGTTGTGGAGAAGTTTAAAGCCGGATTTGGATACAAAAAGATTTCCCAAGCTTTAAACATCCCAAGGAGCACTGTGCAAGCGATAATATTGAAATGGAAGGAGTATCAGACCACTGCAAATCTACCAAGACCTGGCCGTCCCTCTAAACTTTCAGCTCATACAAGGAGAAGACTGATCAGAGAGGCAGCCAAGAGGCCCATGATCACTCTGGATGAACTGCAGAGATCTACAGCTGAGGTGGGAGACGCTGTCCATAGGACAACAATCAGTCGTATACTGCACAAATCTGGCCTTTATGGAAGAGTGGCAAGAAGAAAGCCATTACTTAAAGATATCCATAAAAAGTGTCGTTTAAAGTTTGCCACAAGCCACCTGGGAGACACACCAAACATGTGGAAGAAGGTGCTCTGGTCAGATGAAACCAAAATCAAACTTTTTGGCAACAATGCAAAACGTTATGTTTGGCGTAAAAGCAACACAGCTCATCACCCTGAACACACCATCCCCACTGTCAAACATGGTGGTGGCAGCATCATGGTTTGGGCCTGCTTTTCTTCAGCAGGGACAGGGAAGATGGTTAAAATTGATGGGAAGATGGATGGAGCCAAATACAGGACCATTCTGGAAGGAAACCTGATGGAGACCTCTGAGACTATCACAGTGCAGGTGCATTTATACGGAGACTTGATTCCACACAGGTGGATTCTATTTATCATCCTTTGTCATTTAGGTCAACATTGGATCATTCAGAGATCCTCACTGAACTTCTGGAGAGAGTTTGCTGCACTGAAAGTAAAGGGGCTGAATAATTTTGCACGCCCAATTTTTCAGTTTTTTATTTGTTAAAAAAGTTTGAAATATCCAATAAATTTCGTTCCACTTCATGATTGTGTCCCACTTGTTGTTGATTCTTCACAAAAAATGACAGTTTTATATCTTTATGTTTGAAGCCTGAAATGTGGCAAAAGGTCGCAAAGTTCAAGGGGGCCGAATACTTTCACAAGGCACTGTAATTGTTTTTGAATAGTAATAGAGGTCTATGGTACAGGAGAATAAGACAATCCAGGCCTGAAAGATTGACAGAGATCAGCCATGAGTAGAGACAAATTATTGTTGGTTTTCCTTTGTGACTGCAAGACAGATTTATGGCTAAAGGTCCAGCCCGTCAAAGAACTTACCCCATAAAACAAACTGGACAGGTATTTTGCTGATAGCGTCATTGGTAGTTATCATAGTCTGCACCCCATTTGTTTGAGTCAGAGCAATCGCCTGTCTGGGAAAGTCCTCCATCATCAGCTGCACAGCATACAGACCTTCATTACTGCTATTGGTGGGGGTAAATGACAAGGTACATGACTGCAAAAGGACAAAAAATATGCATGAGACCACACTAACCAAAATGATTTCTGTCAGGTAATGAAATGCAAGACTCTACATTTGGAATAAGGTTCCCACTATAACATCTATCTAATCTGTCCGCAGTTTCTTCTACATTGTGTTTTCCTTTAATCCAAGGGTTTGTTGTAGTTACTGTCATGATCACATTTGTGTTTCTTTGCTTGTTTTCTCAGTTTGACCTCTTTGTTCTAGTGGTAAAATGTTATTGGATGAAGAATAAAAAACATCCAGTGTTGAAATCCTCACACAAACAGTGCTGTTTACATCTGAAATTATGATGCCTTGATAAATTCTGTGCTCACTTAAAAAACACAATTCAGAAATGTATCTAGCATCTGCCCATTAGGTGACATGAAATTAACAATGCTTACTCACAGATGAGAGGCTGAGAACAGATGGTGGTGTGCAGGGCTCACACTCTGATAGTGATATGTTCCCATATCTGCATTCAACCTCATCCCCGTCAGGGTCAAACGCCAACAGGCTGAAATCTCTCTGACAGTTTGAAGGAACTCTAAGGGAGAGAGGGCACAGATAAAGGACATTTGGCACTGTGTGACATCCTGCATTAGTTAACGGTATCTGTTAAATGTCACTCTAGTAAAAATTGTCACCAGGAAACCTACTTCTGATGCTTTTATAAATTTAAGCTTGAACCTGAACTTGAACACAAATCAGGGTGTTCACCTACAAAGCAAAACATGTTTAATCTTACTCCAGGCTTATGTCTTCTGGAAAACTCATTTAATAAACTGAAAAAAGAAGAATGTTTGTCTTTGATTAAACCAGCAAATTAAATATTTCACAGATTAAACTACTTTATTACATGCAAAAATCTATTAATATCCTAAAACGGTTTTTCTTCGATGAGGGCTAAGCACAACCTTGCCTAATCTTAACACAGCCAGACTTTCATTTAGTTTTAAAAACTGCTCGTTACAGCTAAAGTTAGAACATCAACAACTTTTAAAAAAAAATAAATGACAGTTTTGGAGTTAGCATGCAAAAATACACTAAACATAGCCTCTAACACCCATTTTGTATGAACACACAATAGCAGTACCTTTTATTGGACCTTATTTCTTATGAGTACTTAAACTAGGAAAGCACTGAAAGTGCTTATGATATATTGGTACCAAGATGTGACACATAATTGTTCAGTACATAAGTTGTATAGCTGTTAGAATCTAACCTCTTTGTCAGAAATTAACCCAATTCTTTTGTTGGAAGCACGAGAAGTGACGACAGGAGAGGACTGTTTAAAATCAACAGAAAGTTTACTGAAAGTCTGATTACAAGAAAGTCTCACAGCGCTGGATTCAGAGAGATAGAGCTTCCGCAGGAAATTCCAACTTCTGAGTCATGTTTTCACATTACATTTATGCATTTTGGGCTAGGTCCGCCCCAATCAAAGATCTCGCGAAACCAGGTGTGTAAGTGTTGTCATGTGACTTTCTAGGCGGCAACCAAACAATGGGTTTTCTGTGCCGCAGACCCCCCATCTGTGTAATCCCATTATATAACAAAGCAGGACCTGCGTGCAGACCCTGAGTGTATACAGAAGTTAAAGTGATCAGTTTATACTTCAGTAT